TCTTGTGAAATTCTATCCCTAGTGCCGTGATTGAGCCTTTTTGAAAATTCGTTTTCACGCCACAAATTTAACCAAGCCGGTGCAAAATGATAAAAATTTAGCATACCTCGGTTGTTCCGAGAGCTGACCATGATTGAACATGAAAGAGAATGAATGGTGATGTGGAAACCCAACAAAAGGGATGATGAATGTGGAATTCATATGTTGAATAAAAAAGAATGATGAATCCAAGAAAAGGGGCAGAAAAAGGGTGAAAGAGAAACACATTGATCAAAGAAAGAAGGAAAATGTTAAGGAAAAGAAGAAAAAGAAATAAAGAGTGAAGTGATGGGGGTAGACTTCAAATCCCATAAAAGGGAGATCTTTTTGAAATAAAGGTCATTCACCCGGAACAATCCTCTTTGTTATCCTATATCCTTCATTTCATTTGCCTCAATATCACCCCAAGGCCCCATTATAACTCTTGAAAGTCCTAAATGATCTAGAGAAAGCATGGGGATAGCATACTCTTAAGGAAAAAGAAAGGTTGATTTTTCTATCTAATGCCCTAGCATTCTTCCATTAGATCATGCCAAGGCTGTTTTATTCTTATGTATGTACTTCATTTTTAGATTATATTTGAGCATACCTTTTTTTGTGCAAAAGATTCTATCTCACAGATACAGATGGAGAGCATGCTAGGATAACCATAGTGTGATTCATTATTGAGATACATCCTTGATGAGGAGATATCTTAAATGAAAGATTGGAGGGTGAAGAAACCTAGAAAAAGGCAAATGGATGAAATCCTTTCGGAAGGTTTGCACTTGGTCTGCCTATGATCTGCCAAAACCTTCTAGAAGGTTTTGCTTACTGGAATAAACCTTCTAGAAGGTTTGTATCGACCTTCCTAAAGGTTTGGGTCACTGGACAGCTGTTTTTCCTGCAACTCAAGCTCTGTCACTTGGGGGTCCCACCTATGATTCTCCCACTTGTCCCCTAACATCTCTTACACACATACATGCCTTCCCTTGCCTAAGGTTGGACTTTGCAGGTCCAAGCATTAATAAGGAAGAGAGAGAAGATGGAAGTCAGGGAAGTTGCTGGCTAGGCTTGTCTTAGCCTACCCAAGCCATCAACTCAGCAACCTATGGATTGGAAGCCTATCATACAGCCTAAGAGACCTCCATGGATGAAAATGCTAGACACACTTCACATTATTGAGCATTGTAGACAATTATATAGAGAGAAGCTCAAAGAGGAAGACATAGTTTTAGAGAAAGAAGTTATTTTTTTACATTTCTTCTACTCATTTCACTTGTAATCTTCTATAAGACTCTTGTAAGATTCATTTATTGCACTTAATGTCATTTATTTCAAGGTAATTTCAAGTTTAGTCAAGTGTCTTTCAATCCACCATTGTTGCATTCAAGTTTTACATTTCAAGCTTTTTAGTAGGTATTCAATGCACTTATTTTTGTAGTTTCACTTCTCCTTCACTTCAATACAAGTTTAACTTCCATTTCAATACCATGTCTCTATATACATTGTATGTTCTTGCATTCAACATGAGTAGCTAAGCTTTTCGTTAGATAATCCAAGGGGAACTTCCTCTTGGGTATGCTAAATCAGCTCTCCCCCATTCTTCCTCATAGTGTAAGGTGGTTTAGTTTGACTAGGTTGAGTGTGGACATGGTTGTGAGCTCTTGATACACAGTAGACTTGTCATAGGGTATGCTTGAATCCTCACCTCCATTTTAGCCCCTCGCTTCCTACGAATCAATCAAACACTTATGCACCATTGGAAGAATGTTTTGAGTAGATTTGGCATTTTCATTGGAATGACCTCTTCGGATTAACCAACCTTGTTTCCACTACATTTTAATTAACATCACAACTCACCCAAACACAAACTCAAAGATTTTACACTTTTTCGTTTCACAAAATCATGTTCAATATAATTCACCTTCCTTCCTTGAGGAGATGACCTTGGAATACAAATTCCAATTAAAAAATGACCCTAGAAAGTCTCTCTATGCTTGGGGAGCACTTTTGTAAACACACATTTTATTCACACACCCGTTTTCCCATTTCTTGCATGATATCCGAGGGAGAGTGACACTCACTTACCCGTATAAGCCATACACACAACCAGAATCATAGTCGGAGATTAGGAACTACGGAATAAGTCAAGTAATGCCTAGGTGAAACTCAATGGTGCAGTCTGCATCCCGATGTGGAGATAATCCTAGTAGTTTGTCCAAAAAAATATCATCATACTCACAACCCACCCAAGGTGGACCTAAATCTTGTCTCACCTCGTCCTCTAGGGTAAGACTCCTAAGTCAGCCCATTAATTGCCCCGTGCCAATGGGAATCATACGCTACTTGGAGTAAAACGTCTTGCTTCTCCCCCTGAAACTTGAAACAAACACCTTTTGGTGTACAAGTAGTGATTCTCTTCTGATCACAATTAATAATGACTCGAAGTGCCGTCAACCAATGCATCCCAAGGATAACATCAAACTCTGACATGTTCATGACCCTAAGGTCCACAGTGAGTAGAATCCTTGAGATCTCTACTCACAATCCCAACACATCTGATCAATGCATACCCTAGCTCTGAGGGGAGAACTCACATGCAATGGATATTCCAAGGTCTCAACCTCGAAGCCCAAATTCCTTACATATGATGTAGAATTAAATGAATGTGATGCACCAGAGTCAAATAATACCTTTACCCATAAGCGAGAGAGTAGAAATATACCCTGAATAACTGACTAATCTACTAGCTCAGTCTGAGGTGTGATGGTGTAGACTCACCCATAGGTCCTCGAAGTCGCGGCCTGTAAGCCCTATCCTCTGCCTCGGTCCATGCCCTAGCCCATTTGGCCTGATTACAGAGTCCTCACTTGTGAAGTGGTAGGGGCCTGTGCAGCACCCTGGAATTGAAACTAGTTTCCCTGGCCCATGGTGGGGGGTAGGGAGGAGTGAAGAAAGTCTATGGATGCCCCACCGATAACTGAGACTGAGATGCCCCATAGCTTTGCTTTTGTATAATTCCCGTCTATCCATTTTCCAATGAAAACTTCATTCCCGATGGGATGGCCCCTACATTGTCAAGGTGATCTATCCACATGGAGTTGTGGACATAGAAAACCCAGAGGATGGAAAGACATTCAAGGTCAATGACTAAAGACTTAAGTCATTCTTTGAGGGTTTTGAACTCGAGAAGGTTGAGAAGGACTACGTTGATCCAATATACCCAGATCTTATTAAGGAATAGTTTTTTAGTAAATGTTAGTGTACAGTTGTTATTTTGTTTATTTTACTAGTTAAATTGTTGACTTAATTTCTTTTGTATATAGTGTTTTCATTTGTTTTGCTGCTGGTGGTATTTTTGTTAAAGCTTAGTCCGAGGTGTTTTCTTACCATTCTTATATTTAATTTTCATTGAATATATTTTTTGTTGCATTGAGGACAATACTTAGTTCAAGTTGGGGGCCTGAGGTGGACCATTTACATATTACATCATTTTGTTGATGATAAGTTGAAAAATTGATGAAATTTTAAAAATTTTTGAAAAACAAAATCTGATATTGAACAATATTTTTTTTCTCCGAACTGTTATGGGACCTTTGTTTGCTTGACCTAAAACTTGAACTTTTATAAATGAGTGCACCATAGAAGTTTATCCTATGCTTAAGTATCAGATACATGTCTTCATTCAAACTCAACTAAAGTGCACTATGAAAGTGTCATTATTGCAATTTACTGAATGCGATCCACATCTTATAGAGCTTGACATAAATAGTGGAGATGAATTACCCTTGTGAGCTATTGTGCCATTCTTTGTTGGAGGGTTAACTTACATGTGCTCAAAAGAACAAGTTTTTTAAATTCAATTCTATTTAATAATCTCATTATTCTTATTTTGGCTAGTGTGAAAAATGATAGTTAATTGAAATGATCTGAAATGCATAGTAGTACTTTGTCATGTATCTTTGAGAAATTATTTTAGGCCTTCTTTGATCCACTTTGAGCCTTAGCCTTTCCGTTTGAAATATTGTCTTTAGTCACTGTGATTAAGTTGCAAATTAAAATTTCATTTCCATAACCACATGTTTTACCTAGCCATGTTTAATATGTTTACCCTACCTTAGTTATCCCGAGATGAACAATGCTTATATTGAAAGAAGGGAAGATGTGATTGTGGGAAATGAGACAAAGGGATGATGTATGTATAAATTGAAATAATTTCAAAAAAAAAAAAGGCAAAAGTGAAGAAAAAGGGAAAAAAGGGGTGAAAAAAAAAACATAAAGAAAAAGGGAATTGAAATGAAGGTGGATAGTAAAAAAAAATATTAATTGTGATTAGAATGTCATATGCTCTACATAATCTACTTTTGAACATGCACTTCAATTTTGGACTGTATGTGAGTTTTATTTTGTTTTTTGTATACAAGATTCTACTTCACGTACAAACATTCACAAAAAGTCACTATAATCATAGAGTCATTCACTCTGAGAGGAAACCCTTGGTGAGAATTACATCAAAAACTGAATTTGGATAGCTAAAATGGATGTGGAGGTTTTTGGGTAAATTGTTTAAATTGAATGCTCATTTCACACACACACGAGTCCTAAAGGGAGATCTATAGGTGAGTACTTTTGAATAATTATTCAAGACACCCCAGGGCTGGTTAGGATTATGAAATATGTTTTAAATATAGATGTGGAAAAAAAAGAGGAATTAAAGAAAGAGAAGTTTGTAGGTAGCTTCATTGTAAACCTTCCTAGGACAAACTCATCTGCTAGGGATCACCTAGTGGTTTAAAAATGTAGTTACTAGGGATGTGACATCCCAACTTGAGTATGGCCCAATTGGTAAAAAAAGCAGCAAGAAAAGAAAGGCTAGGACTAGGGCGATTAGGCATCCGAAAGAGAGGACTGAGCCACCCACATCCACATCCGCTCCAATGAAGACTATTCCCCAGTGACTAACTAGGATTGAGGGTAAGTTGGAGGACATAGGGAAGGCCATGGTCGAGGACCGGGGGACTTTGGAGCTATTGATGCTAATGATGAAGAGATTTTATGAGCAAGCCACACCTGTTATTCTTGTTGAGGTACCTCCTTTGATTATTGTGCTAGACGTTGAGGACTCTATTAATGAGGATAAGGGTGATGATGAGGAGGAAGAAGGCAATGATGATGTGGGTTATGGTGACAAGCTAGATGAGTAGATGGGAGAGAAAGAGGAAGTGAGTGCAATCGCGAGCGATGAAGGAGCCACTAGTGATTGTCCTTTCTTTTGTTTTGTAACTTTTTTGGAACTTTAGGTTAGTAGAAGCAAGTTTAGGTTGATATACCTAGGTAAAAGTATCCTTAGGAGAATAGGTCATTTTGTGTTCTTCTTTGTAATGAAAGACAGTGTTTGTGAATATATCTATCTTTTTGAATAAGAATTGCTAACAGGTTGTGATAAGTGCGTAATATTGCATATTTAATTGCCTCATTATATTCATTTTAGCTTGGTTTTGCAATGATTTATTTGAATTTGATTTAATTTGGAGATTAACGGAGAAATATGTGATTGCAAGTGAATGGGGTGTAAATACAGAGTTTTATCACTATGCAATTCTTTGTGAGCAAAGGGTGAAGAAAGGAAAACAAGAGATGAGGGCTCGGGTGCGTAGAAGTTCAAAAATCAAAGAAAGGAAAAAGGTACTAGTACCTATGAAGCTACGTACCGGTACTTGGGATAAGAAGTATTGGTACCTGAGCCTACTTGAAATTGAAGAATGAAGGAGTTACCGATACATGAGCCCACTAAAAGCTAAGTACCAGTACCTTTCATCATTGGTACCAGTACCATGGCTTAACAGAATGCAAGGTACTGGTACCTTTATCACTTGGTATTGGTAGCTAAGCTTAGACTTCCCTAAATTTTTATCTCTACGTTCTCATCAGCGACGAGGGTACCCCTAGGAACATCTAAGCCAAATTATGGCATTGTTAACACTCCACCATGACCCCCTAACCACTAAATTAAGCTTTCAAGCAAGAATGAGTGGAGGGAGAGAGACACCAAAAGGAACGAAAGGAGAGGGGGAATGGTTGGAGAGAACAATAAGACCATGCTTTTGCTAATTTGGGAAGAAAACTTGGACAACCTCTCTCCAATCAAGGAATTCTCATCACTTTTTGGAGAAAATGAAGAAAGAACATTATGGAGGGAAGACGACCCATTACATTTAGCTTTTAGAGAGAGAAGCTCCAAGGAAGAAGAAAACGTAGTTTTAGAGAGAGAAAGTTGGGTTTTTGTAATCTCTTCCTCATTTTCATTCTAGTAAGTTTCTACAACTTACAATATTCATTTCTAAACTTTGTACTACTTCCATTTTCAATTATGAATGCATTTTGTTAGAGTTTCACTACAATATCAGTTTCAAGGAAACTCCATTTTCAAGTATTGAATATTTGTGCTTTAACATATATATTTTCTATATTTGACCAAAGTTTTAAGTTTTTTTACCTTTTTCTTTGGCTAGTTTAAGTTAGTGTTTTTTTCCTTTGCGATGTTTTCAATTTTCCTTAGCATTTTTGTTTCATCTATGGCCGGCTAAATTATTTGTTGGCGAAATCCAAAGAAGGATTTCTATCCGGGTGTGGGAAAATTAATCCTCACACACATTTCCTTGTAGTGTAGTGTGTTGAATTTGACTTGGTAGATTGCAACGTATAGGTTTGTACACATTTGATGCACCATAGACTTGTCACGGGGCATGCTTATCGTCCCTTCAAACATATATGAATCATTTTGACATCAATACACACATTTGGTAATTCTTGATTTCTAACTCCTATCTTCTGATTGAACAAAAACACTTATGAGTTCAATTGAGTTATAAGTAGGATTGATTAACCATACCGGTGGAATGAATTTTGAGAATTAGCCAACCCTTATTTTCTTTGTAGAGTTTCAAACCCCAAATCTCATAATTCACCAACACTTTTGAAGAACCAATTTTACTTTTATTTACAAAATCACTTTCAAAAAACTTAGTCTTGACCTTCCCTGAGAAAACGACCTCGAAACTTTTTCCAAGTTAATACACAACACATAAGTCTCCCTGCGCTTGGGGAGAAACTTTTGCACTATTATAATTTTGAGGGTACACCACTTCTGACACACATAAATTCCAACACACTTTGCAAACAACAAGAAAACCAAGCAATGATGGACTATACTAATTTACAGATCATACTGACTCTGCAGACATAAACAAATATAATCACAAAATGAACCAAACAATAAATACATATAACACAATCTAGGAAACTTCTTATTTTCTTTTCAAAATACCATAACACCTCGGTAGCGATGCCAAAAAATTTACTTGATCTCTATCATGCACACCCAAGTATAAATAGTCAAGTTGTAATTTTTCTTAGTAGAGTCCGAGGTCGATTCCTCTGGGAGTTATCTATTGAACTTTAAACAGAACAATTGAATGAAACCTAGATAAAGATTGTTGAAATTGGATTTTGGTGTGTGCTTGGTGACTAAAAACTAGAATGCTTAAAACCAAGGTTTACTCACAACAAATTTAAAAGGTACTCTTTAGTTTGGGGATTAGAACATGTGCGTCATTGCTTGTGTTTATGATAGTGCTATCATACTACAATTAACTCCCATGTCAATGGTAAGTCTATTGGAAGGTATTTATATATTAAACCATAACACAGCAACCGCTAGGTTAACCAGAAGTTCTATGTACCATACAATAACCAATTACCTTAGCAAACCCGAAGGTGCAAATAATCATTCAAAAGTTTACTTTGGCAATTGATTGGGAGGTCTATGATTTGATGAAGTACATAGCTCTGGTTTATGCTTAGAATCAAAAGCATTGGATATGGCAAGACTTAATCCATCTATACCCAAGCTCCCATTCTTCACATAATTTGCAGCTTAGTTTGTCATTGAATAATGCATTAGTGTACATAAAATATTAAAGATGGAATGGAAATGAAATTGAAACCATAGTACTTGCATTGACCATGAGCATAACCTAAGTTATACAATAGTATACAAAGTACAAAATATTAAAGAAAGTACCATCCATCATTTAAGAGAGGTATATAACAATAAGCATAAATAATAAAATTGCCCTTCAATTAATCAAGTAATATTACACAAATCTTCACCCCCTCACTAAAGAACAAATGAGAAATTGCTCACTCTTCATGGCTATGGACAAGATAGAAAAGTGGGAGAACCTCATTCCTCCAAGTGAGGTATTGTCTTCAAATACAAAAGTAAACAAGCTAAAACAAACCCTTCCCCAAGGTGTAATTGAAACACCCCCACTCTTATTAACCAAGACAAGGCTTTGAAAAGTGAGAGAGGTTCAACCCTCCAAGTAGAAAGAGTAATTAAAGAAATGTAGAAGAAATTTGGCTAGGTAGGTAAGTAGGAGAGAAATTCTTCAAAGAAAGATGGATGAATAATACTAGGAGGGGGAGAGTACTTATAGAACTCCATGGGTGGCAACTGGTGGCATAATGGGCCAATAGGAGCAAGCTTTGCTGACTTGGGGGAGAAGAAAGGGTGAGGTTGTTTACCACCGTTTGGACAGTATTAGTGGCTTCTGAACGTTTACTCATCTTATGGAAATCCTCATTTTTGGATATTTTGTCTTGGAACTTGAGCCTGTAATACCATCCGAATGGTGGAGGAGAATTCGGACGGTGGCAGTATGCTGATATTTTCCCCTTTTTTGCTCCTTGGTCATTTAGCTTCCCAAATTTATTTAATTTGCCCTTAAACTTCCTATTTTCACTCCCTTGACACTGTAATTTCAAAGCATCAACATTCCACCCATTAGTAATAATATAACTTACTTTTATCCTGTTAATTTATTTAATTGATGAAATTAACTTTTAAACATATATGGAAAATGGTATTTTTTAGGGTTAATCATGGTACACATGGATGTTTATATCTTGTATGAGTGGGTGTTATGAACATGAGTTGCAATCGACCATTTATCATAGAGTGTATAGATATGTTTCTAACCATGAGGAGTTTGAAGGTGCCCTATCACTCGTAGTGGTGTTGCTTGATTCTGTACAAGGTTCTAAGAATTTGTACAATTCGCTCACACGAATTGAGGGTAGGGGCTAGTATACTATTCATGGGAAGAATTTGTCAATGCCAATGTGTTGGTATTCGTCCTTGCTAAAATGTTGTATCCTTGCAAGGTTGGGTTTGAGTTGGCTCTTCACACCAATGACGTATGAGAAAAATTGCACCAAGAGTTCTTTGAATGAGCTGATTGAGATTGGAGGTAGTTTACGATACCAGATCAACGCAAATCCTTTAAGGGTAATCACAAAGGCTCTGCACCGAATAAGGTCCTAGTAACCATATAGTTTCATCATGTTCTTGTAGGTGTTTAGGTAATCAAAAGGATCCTTGGTGCCATCAAAGGCTTCTATGGAAGGCATATTGAACTTGGATGGTGGGGGGAAATTTTGGATCTCTTGAGAAAATTTAGATTTAGTCTTCTAGACTAGAGCTTCCGTGGAAATGGGAGCTCTATTCTTGATGATGTTCTTCACACTTCTTAGTTTGTTTTGGACTTCCTTGATTCTATCCTTTTAATACTAGTTGAGAGGTGGTGGGTACAGTGGAGGATGGATTGTTTCTTACCCCCTCTACATCTCGGTTGTGGCCTTCATCTTCTTGATTTCGCCGATTGTCAGTATTGTCATCAGATTGGCTTCTGTTGTCTCTTTTAGTAACCCCATTCAAGGGTTGTCACTGTTTCAGGATAGTAAGGAGCTTTATGATCTGTTGATTTTGCCTGAGTAAGCGCAACATAATTTGGTAAAACATTTCCTAGCCTTTTGTTTGAGGCGGATTGGCCCGAGGACCTTCCAAAGTAGGAGCTCATTGTTGGTTTTTAGGATTTTGGCTCATGCTTCTCATCAAAACCATCAATCAATTTAAAGTTATTCAATTTAGAACGATGAAGATCATTCTCATAGATGACTCCAAATTGATGGGGTAAAATCTAGCGTAAAGGCCTTGAGTGTGTGTGACAAAGTAGAAGAGAAGGCACATAAAATTAAGTGGTTCACCTAGTAGAAAAGCTAGGCTATTCCAATATTTCTTGGGGAAGAATAAGGTTACAACAACTACGATATTTCTCTCATGCTTAAGGCAGCCTACGGG